CCCAGCTGCACCCAAAATCATTCCATGACTTCAAGTTTTCCAGAATCAGAACTGAACATGCTAACATTGGAATGTATTGTGCAAAGGTCAATTTTTTAAAATAATATGTATTTTAGTTATAATTTGAGGGTATCCCTTACTTCAAATTCATAATTGAAATATTAGCTTATTGTTTTCTATGTGGATTCAAGGAAAATAAGTTCCACATCCAGCAAAGTATGTTAAAGTATCTATAACACTGCTCTATTCAAAATAAGAATTCTACTTTGTGCCCAGCATCAAAAGAGCATACAATAGCCCTGGTTGGCATTGCTCAGTTGGCTGAAGCACCACCCCATAAGCCAAAAGGTCGTAGGTTCTATTCCTGCTCAGGACACATACTTAGGTTGTGGGTTTGACCCTGGGTCAGGACACGTGCTAGAGGAAACCACTGATGTTTTTCTCTTCTATCAGTGTTTCTCTCCCTCTCTCTCTCTCTTCCCCTCTTTCTATCTAAAACAATAAGCATGTGAGAATTTAAGTGAATTAAGTGAGAATTTAAAAAAAAAGAAAAGACCATGGGGAAAAAAAAAGAGCAAGCAATAGAGTATACAATATTGACTTATAACGTTGTGCACCTGAAATTTATATAATGTTATTAACCAACATTACCTCAATAAAAATTAATTTAAAATGATAGTATGGGACACAAAACAAAACCAAAAAGAATCCTTTGAAGTACCAATGGTTTGTTTAGAAGTTGTCAAGTTGAAGAATGATTAATGCATTAATTGTCCACTAGATGGTAGCAGTGAAGCTGATACAATTTGTCAAGCAAATATCAACATAATTTAGTAATATATTATTTAAATAGGAAGAAAAAAAGATACATCTTAATGGCAAAAGAAATCCCCATAAAGTCTTAAGCAGTACTGATGGTAATTTTAAAAACAGATGTAATTTATCTAAATTATCTTTCCCCCATTCCAATTTAAGTTATATCCATGCTATGAATTGGAAGGCTAACTCAACTGTAGCTACCTGAGTGAAGTTTTCTCGCTGGAGGTGTATCATTCAGTTCACAGATGGTTCCACAGCACACTCCCTTACTTGCCTCTAGCAGATAACATCGACCCCTAAATAAAGGATGCAGTGACCCAAAGTTCAGAAGTTATGTGAGTAAACCATAAAGAACCTTCCAAAGTCTCTAAATTGAATGCTTTTAAATAGAAATTAGGAATATGGATGGGCTTTCCTAAAATTACAAGGAATTTTTAAGAAGAAAAATAAGGATTGGGTGAGCAAATACACAAATACTCTCATTTACAATCCCATGTAACTGAGATTTCCTGCACTGGGACATTTTTGCTGTATCTGTTGCCAACTGGCTGAGAATGTCAGATAACTGGCTAAGAGTGTCACTTGCCTGAACTAAATTAAAAAAAAAAAAACACAAAAACAGAAAAATCTGCTTTATCCTTCCCAATGTAGTAGTGCCATATGCTCTCCTGCCCAGCTGACCAGAGACTGCTGAGGGCACCAGCCCAAACTTGCCCCCTCAGGAACCCCTGGCTGTTAGGGCATCTCTTCTCCCTTCTTTAACCTACTCCCAGCCCTAGAGCTCAGGACAGACTGTGAGCCCTTCCTGCAGTTCCACATTCTCATCTCTCTCAAAGCAGCAATTAACCAACAACACAGGAATGGCCCACTGAATCTCTGTTTTCTCCAATGGTTTGGCTATAAAATAACTAGACTGGTTTTCCAGGCTGGATTATAGAAGTTCTACACACCTAGGACCACATTCCATGTGTTTATCTGCTTTTGCCAACTAACTATATGAACTGGTGGGAGGGAATTTCAGGCCTAGACAGAAGGGGAGTAATCATGACAGTTAATGTGGTTATTTGGGTGCCAGATGGGGTCCTGATGATCCTCTTGGGTCATCTCATGGGAGCAGGCAGTCACTGTCCCCTGGCCAGGTCTGACACTGCCTGAATCACACACCCAGGCCTTTGTCCAGAGATGCCACCTTGGCTACAATGACTAGGGACAAGATTCTCTGCAGTATTTTGCAAGGCAGCTTTGTTTCAACATTATGAATCCAACACCCACAATTAGAGGTAACAAATTTATCTTTCACCGTATCCTTTATGAAATACCGAAAGGTATTTCTGGGGTGTATTGGATTGGATTTAAAGTCAGAGAAGTATTTGAAGGATTTTAATAAATTACAAGAGAATTCTGACTTTCATTTTCTAGGACATTTTTCTTATAAGAATATGGTTTGAAAAATATGCAGAAAAGCATAGTTTAAAATAAAGTGATATTTTAAATTGTGGTTAGACATATAATACTGAAAAATACTAGGAGTACAAAGACCCAGGAAGATGGAAAATTATTGGCATGTGAAGCTTCAACTTTAAATCTCTTTTAAAAATGATTAATTGAACTTATGAAACATCTTGTCTTACACAATCAATCCTGAAACAGTGCCCCAAAACTTGCTCAGTCCATACACATGGCAAGACCTTTTATGAATCTTACTATAGTAGTTTAAAGTTGTACTGAACTGTGCTTGTCAAAAATCTATGACCTGTTCTGCAAAAAAGCATCAGTATATTCTTGTACTCCATCTATTATACAATTCTTCAGAGGCTAAATAGATTGGGGAGAAGTGAGAGGTCTTAAAAGCATCACATATTTACGTCTCATTCCAAAAACAGGGAACTGTCAATATTGCAACAGACATTAACAGGTGAAAGATTTATTTGAGTCTCACCCTGAGAGGTATCAGGATCCTTAAAATATTTATCTAGATCCCAAAATAAAATAGAGGTGTCCTTCCTACTTAACCTAAAAAAAGATACAGAAGTCTTTTCTACAGTTCTAAAACTAGTCACACACACACACACACACACACACACACACACACACACAGGATTCAAGAAATATATCAGAATGTTAGAATTCATGGATTTTTCTGTTGTCTTCTTCCAACTTTCCTATATTTTGCTAAATTGTTTTCAATAGGCATTTATTTGTTTTAGAATCAGAAAATAAATTTCCAAACAGCAAAGTTATTACATTAAAACATTCTTAAGGTAGTCCACAATGACACAAATATAGAGGGAGGTGTCGCCTCCGAAGGTCACAGCACACACTTGAGTCTGCCATGCAATCTGTTCTGATACTCGTCAGTTGTGTGACCTGCCAGTGGCCAGTGTAAGTTGGTTTACAGAATCTGACAATTTTATCACCTACCTAGAGGTCACAGCATGTTTTTTAGCACCTGCCATCCACCAAGTCCCTTACATGTGCTACCTCATTTAGTCCTCACAGCCACTTTTCAGAGGTGCATTTGCATCCCCATTTTACAGATGAGAAAACCAAGACCCAGAATGACTAGGCAGCTTGCTCAAGGTAAAGTAGCCAGTGTTTGGGAGCTACTCTGAGGTTATATCTGTGTAAGTCCAAAGTCAAGCTCTTCTTTTTCTCTGCACCCCTGCGAAACCTACGCTCAGAAACAACAGAAGCAGCATTTGGTCTGGCAGTTTCTAGTGCTGATGAGCTTGTCCAATGTCAAGAATATGAAACCATTTGTAAAACCCTCCTCTTCCTTACCTGCAGGGCTAGAGCAAGGGGACCAACCTTTGAAGGAATAAAGGAAAGTCATACATTATATCACACACCTATCAGATGGAGAAAAATAAACTATTGCTGCTACTTATAACCTATAATCCCCCCAAAAATACTATTTTGATAATGAAAATAGGCAACCATGACTCTAAGAAATTTCATATATGACCACCTATGCATCTGTCAATGTGAGGGGGAATTTTTAAAAGGCGATTCTAATAACTTCTCTGATTAGATCAATTCACTCACTCTATTAGATTACCTATGATTCTGGGTAAAGATGTGTTTTCTCCCAAATAACTTATAATTGACTGAACTTTGTTCAAAACTAAAGGCCCTCCCCCAGGAAACCATTTAAAATGGTCTATAAATGACATTCATTAATTTGACTTTCATAAAAGCATTTAATGGGCACCTGCCTCCCCCAGATCCTGAAGATAGCCATTGTACACTTGAGCACCCATGTTATCGCGCCCTCTCCGAGTCCTCACTGCTTTAGGCACAGGCACTACCTCTGAGGATGGAGCGGGGAGAATGGGAAAGGAGTGGAGAAGTGGATGCTTTAGCTCTTTCTGTAATGTTTACTTCTTTACAAAGAGAGGTACAGAACAAATATGGCAAAAGTATTACCAACATAAAGTCTAGATGGTGAACACATTAATGTTTTCTACATTACTTATAATATTTTAATAAATTTAAAATATTCTGCCTTGGTTGATGTGGCTCAGTGGATTGAGTGCTGGCCTGCAAACCAAGGGGTCACTGATTTGATTCCCATCAAGGCACATGCCTGGGTTGCAGGCCAGGTCCCCAATTGGGGGCGCACAAGAGGCAACCAATGGATCTATCTCTCACAGATCATTGTTTCTCTCTCTCTCTTTCTCCATCCTTTCCCCTCTTTCTAAAAATAAATAAATAAAATCTTTTAAAACTATTCTGTAATTTAAATGTTTTTAAAATTCAAAAATTTACAATGTAGCTTCAAAAAAACATGTTATTAAGGAGCACCCAGCAAGTTTCAGTGGACAGATACTCAAATGCATCTCAGGTTCCAAATGCAAATTTAAACTGATTCCTTCCATCATTCAATTCAAACATATGGTAGAGTAGTATTTTAGAACAAAGAACTGGGTTCAATGCCAGCTCTGTGAATATACTAGCTCTGTTACCTTGGGCAAGTTATTTGTTTAAAAAGGAATCTGCCTCCCATCCCATCTGTAAAATGGGAATTCCCTATTATAAAATATAAATGAGTAGTATTGCCTTTAGTGTTAATGTTGCTACCACACTTGTCTCCCCTCAACTAGAAAACATGGGGAGGGGCATGGTAGAGGGACACTTCATCCACCAGAACCCTAAGAGGAAGTCAGCTGCTTCTCCAGAGAAGAGCTGAGGCATAAAACTGGCAGAGGACCTGGGGGCAGGCAAGCAAGAACCATGCAGTTCATCCTGCTGGTGGGTTTGATCGCTACCACCCTGGCAGTTGCTCCTGTCCGCTTTGACAGGTAAATCTCACCACTCTGTGTGGCAGTATCTATGTGGGAAGAGGACTAGGGAACACTCTTTACAGTTTGTATTTTTCATCTTTTGCATTCATAAAGGGAGAAGGTGTTCCGCGTAAAGCCCCAGGATGAAAACCAAGCAAACATCATAAAGGACTTGGCCAAAACCAACAAGGTAAAGCATTTAGAAAGATATTTTGCCTTTTCTTTCTGTTCTCTAAAAGCTGTTTCTTTTTATTTTATGTTTAATATCCAAAGACAAAGATAAAGGGAAGTGGCAGGAGCTACTTGGACAATTCAGCCCATCGTCAATTCTTCTTGTTTTTGTTTTTCTCCAAATTACCACTCCCACTTTTCCTCCCAAAAGCCTGGCAAACAAGTACTTTTTGTAGCTGAAATTGTGAAATAAGGGGATGTTCCTGACCTTTACTGAGGCCTCATTTCCCTCCTTGCCCACTCCACTGTGCTCACTCCCACCCCAGTCCTTACCTGTGGCATAATTTCCATTTAAAGTATTAACTGATAACTTTAAGGACCCAGGTGTGAACCTTTCCAAGAACAGATCCATTTTAAAGGGAAATTCTTCAACTTTGATTGTTCCTTTAAATACACCAGGCTAACAATCATTTTATCATTTCTTCAGCTGGTCCCATACAAAGGTGCATGTGCCGGCCACCTTGCATACATCATTTCAAATTCTCCAACAGATTTTCAGTGTCAGTGTCATAATTAACCCAGAGGTGTCAAACTCATTTTCACTGGGGGCCACATCAGCTTTGTGATTGCCTTCAAAAGGCCAAATGTAATGTCAACTCCTTAACAGTTAAGGTGTAGTTACATTTATACAGTCCTAAAATTATTTCAGCCCTCTGAAGGCAACCTTGAAGCTGATGTGGTCCCCAGCAAAAATGAGTTTGACACCCCTGACTTAACCCATTTAAAACAGAATTGAAGTTCAAAGACAGTAAATTAAATAATCAAGATGACACATGAGATTTAAACCCAGAACCAAATCTGGGATTTATTCTAGTCCCACACAACCTTGTCTCCATCTCAAACCAATCAAAAGTTCTACCTATTCTAATTCCCACATGTTTTTCAAATCCATACTTTTCACTCCCTTTCTCAGCCACTGCCAAGTTCACAGTGGCTCTACCTCTTACTGGGACAATTTTAGTAACACCTTAACTAGCATTCAGGGTTCTAGTCCTTCCTCCTACAAAGTCAATCCATACCCCAACTGATTGCTCTCTCTAAAACTTGAAGATTGCATTCCTCCATTTGAAGCTTTTTCATGAGAGGCAGCTGATTATAGACAGAGTATGGTCTTCACCAATTCCAATCCCAGCTATGTGGCCTTAGGCAAGTTACTTAACCTCTCTGGATCTCAGTTTCCTTCTCCATCAAATGGGATAATAATCATACTTATTTCCTAAGGTTGTTTTAAAGACTAAATGAGCTACTGTTTGGGGAGCAATGAGTAACAGGCCTAGTCACAATGGAAAAGCACTTTCTATTGGTACTGTTGTATCAAGTCTTCAAGATCTGCCAGACCACCAGCCTCAGTAGTATCCTCCTCCCCAACTGTCTTTCTCTAAAACTCCATGAACACCATCAACTCACCCACTGTGGCCCCGCACAGCTTTGCTCAGGAGGAATGTTTACTCTTTGACTTGGTTAACTCTCCTTCTTCAAGACCCAGCTCAGGCAGTGTCTCCTGCAGGAAGTCTTCTCTGTCCACCAACTCTCATGACCCAGTTGGGATTGCTTCTCATGCTCCTGGAGCACCTGTGCTTCTCCCTGGTACTGGTCAGCATGTTGGAAATGCATATGTGATGCCTCTCATGCAAAACGTCTTGTTTCTCCCAAGTCCTTTATTAGTATCCACAGTGGTGACACCCAGCTCTGTGCCTGATGCTTAATAACTGCTCATGAAAGGTCACTGAGCCCTAGACCTTGTGACACATTACCTTGTTCAGACAGAGAAACTGCCATTACGGTTAAACGGCCCTGCATAACTCACCTTTACATCACATTTACATCCCTCGTAGGTCCAGCTTATCTGTAACTTTTTGATCAAAACAAACCAATAAACATTCGTTCATAGCAGTCTCATAATAATTAACTGAGAGGTACAGTGGGATTCAACTTGGAAACAGCCAGGCAGACTTAGACAGGCCCAGTGTAATGGGTAGAAATAGGGCATTTCCTTCATATTTTCTAGGTTGGAGAGTAGTACTTCATTAGGTTTCATCATTGCGTATGATTTTAAAGAACAAAAATTAGAATCTTCTCAAAGTTATTTTAATCTGAATGCTATTCTACTGGGCCCATTCACCAAATTTCTGAAATTCTTAGCCAGAGCATGAGAAAGGGAAGGAAAACAACAGCTGTTAAAAACCTGCGTATCGCAGACCTCAAAACTATTTCACAATCTTCACAACATCCAAGTGGAGTCCTGTTAGCCTCATTTTTTTAGGGAAGCAAACTGAAACTCAAAGAGCTTTAGTAATTCTCCCAATGGCATACTGCTAGAAAAAATTACAGTACTGAAGATTGGAACTTCCAGGAATTCAGGAGTTTACAGGGACATTTGGTTTTGAGGTTTGAACTGAGAGGGGTAGTGGGGAACCATGTATTTAATCTATATTCCCAATTAGATACAGATTCTGTGGCTAAATCAATTATGGAACACCTCAATCAAACCCAGGATGGTGGAACCAAACAAATTAACCAAAAGCTGCTCATTCTTTTTGTATTTATAGGTACCATGTCCTGCAAAATTGACACAAATGGTTTTTTCCCCACTCTTTCACATTCAACAGACATTAAATATGTGGTATTTGCAAAAATTTCATAAGCTTGTTAAGAAAAGGGTCCATACTTTAGTCATATTGAACCCAAATTCCTTTCATGGTGTATGACATACAGTCATTTCCTAATAAATAAGTGTTGGGTGAGCTAACAAACAACTGTTTGAACTCGTTTCTACAGCTCGACTTCTGGTATCCAGATGCCAGCCACCATGTGGTTGCTAACATGACAGTGGATTTCCAAGTCAGTGAAAAGGAATCCCAGTCCATCCAGTTTGCCTTGGATCAAAATAAAATGTACTATGAGTAAGTCCTATTATTCAATATTCAAATGTATTGGATATGCAAAGTTCAGGGCATCTTAAAAGGGAAGTACTATTTTTTTAACTGAGAAAAAAATAAAAATTGTATCTATGACATAAAATTTACAGTTACTTCCAAACAGGCTATTGAGGCCTGACTATAGAGGCCAGCCATTAAATCAAACCTGGCCACAAAACTTCCATCTTCTGTTTGCTCTAATCTGCAAGAATGGCAATGATCTACACCTGCCATCTCCAAACAAGCCCCTAGTGAGGACAGAGTGCATGTGAGCAAACATGAATGCTTTAGGCACACTCGCCACCTCAACAAGAGGTAAGCCCCAGAGCCCAGACACAGTGACTGGTAACCACCAGCACGACATTTTTGTATGTGAATTCTCCTGAGACATAAAAAGAGAACCAAATAATAATGTTCATCTTTAAGCCAGACATGAGGGAATATAGAATATATAGTAAATAAACAATTTTTATGAAAGAAATTCTTCCTCAGAGAAAGCAAAAGCAGTGCAATAGAATAAGACAAATCCATGAGGAGAGAATTATTGAATAGCCAAAGATGCCAAAAGGAGTCATTGTGATCCCATAGAAAAGTAAGGGGAAATTAGAGTGTATTGATCACCAGCCATGAGCCATGCACTGTCTGGGCCTGGGCGGGGGCAGTGAACAAGAAGGTAGCCCAGCAATGAATATCACAAATCAGCACAATATGGAAAACAAAATGTGTTTTTATACTTTCAAATATTTAGTGATAATGAGTGGTCCCATTTTAACTTCCCCAGCCCTTGGCATCCCAGGAATCCCCTTTATTGAGATCTCCACCACTCAAAACACCACTAAGCACTAGTTCTTTCTTCTTAACTTGCTATTTCATGCCCCTGCTACCTAACTTGGGGCTGTCACTCAAAAGGCCTCTTCTTCCAGCTAAGACAAAGATCCTATAATCTATTGCAGAGTGGATTTCCTGCTGCTCATCTTGACTTGGTTGCATGTATAATATCCCTTCAGTATCCTCAATAAATATGAACCCTGCTGAAATTAGGAAAAAAATATGTAAGACAAGTTAAAAAATTCTTATTTGTGGCTTAATAGCTTAAAAAGTAGCAGGCTGTAGTTTATCTCTGTTTCTGCTGTTTTTTCAAGTGGGATGTGAAACCAAGGAAGTTAATAAGTGAGAACATATTCAAACTTAATTTATACCAGCATTTAACTCCTTTTAAATAATATGTCAACATGTGTTTTTATATTTGTTTAATAAATTGCAGCATTGAATTAGAAGAGACACTTTCTAAAATATACCTCCAAGATCACAGAAATTAGTAGTGCATTACGCTAAGGTTCAGATGACTTTTGGATTCTTTCTCTAAAAGGCACCACCCCTCCACCCTATAGCTACCCCCTAGTGACTGTGTCTCTTGATTCACTTCACAGCCAGGCTTCTCAAATGTGTGCCTCAGTTACTACACTCTTCAGTTTGCTTCATTAATACAGACCTGAGTCAGATTCCTATGATCATTTAATCCTTACAAAGTATCCAGCCCAAGCTAAAATAAATTTTAGCTAACCAATCTTGTATAATTTGGTTTGACCATCAGGGTAAAAATGAAGTATTATGTTGTCCTAATATCTTGGTAATGTAGTCAAAAAGCTAGTTGCTTGGCATGAGTGTGGATAGTGGAATAAATCACTGTGATAGAAGACACCTGGGCAGGTAGCTGACGTGCCTCCGTTTTATCCAATCACTCACATCCTCCCTTTCTCTTCTGCGGTCCTCTGTTGGCCTCTCCTAGCCTGACTTCAAACAGAAGTCTAATTATCTAAATTCAGATGCTCATAAAGAGTGCATTTTTCAATTTGTCTTATGCCATCATCCTTACTTGCTATGCACATCAAGAACCAGAGTATTAAACTACCTATAAAAATTAGTTTTATCTAATTAGGACATGATTTCTAGAAATTGGTCCAAATTAGCCACAGTTGTAGGAAAGCCACATAATTAGATAGTTACCTTACTCAGAAATATAAATATGTAAAGTAATCTCTGCAGATAAGAACTACTTAAAATCTTGTCTCCAAGTACTAATTATATAGATAATTTTATTTGCATATTAATTATATGTGTTACTTGGTGTCAGTCAGTAACAGAAGAGGATTCTAAGAACAGAAACATCTGGTTGGACCCAGGCACCAGTCTGGATAAAACCACATTACAGGGCTGGTTTGACACAATGATTTACTTCGACAGCCTTCATTAGACAGTGCATATAAACCACTATTTAGCTTAAAGCATCTGTGTGTGATTTTTTAATTTTCAGAAAATTAAATTACTAAGATTTGATTTTAAAGCAGCATGTTTGCTCCATTTTTATTTACACTTTTACAAACTCATATAGGCCAAACCAAAAAAAAACAAAAAAAAACAAATATGTATATACTAACAAACCTGAACAGACTGGTGAAAAAATGTATAAAAGAAAGTACATCCATTCAACTGAGACTAAAGGTGTAGATTCCATATTTAGATTCAGCAGTTAAAAACTCTAGTGTTTTTACTATTTTCTGTATTTTAGATATTTGTATTTTAGAGACATTTCAGGTTATCTTCTCTTTCATCTAAAGTTAAAATTATAAGGTAAGAGTTGTTCACTATTACTATAATAGTAAAATTCAAATAATACAATTAAGTAAAATCTTATTTAGATGCACATAAGATTATGTGGAAAAATGCAAAAGATATTTACACCAAACTTACATAGCAATCATCAGCACTTCGTATTAATGTCTAAGTACCTAATGATGTTCAGTCAGACACACGTTCATGTCCCAAGTATATACAGAGTCCTATAAAATAAGTATTTTACTTTACAGTGTTTCACAGGGGTTTCATGAAGATGGACTAGGACTACAGAATCACTCTTTGCCTGAGTCCTTCACTTCTATTAAATCAAATGGAGGAAAGACCACTAACATGTGCTTACACAATTGTGCATGCATGCACACACACACACACGTTGTACAACAGAGGATAACTAGAGGCTATCAGCAGATGCTCCCTGTTCCTCCCAGTGAATAAATTAATGCCGTATAGCTTATTGTCCAACATTGGATATGCCTCAAATGTGGGGAAATCCACGTCAGAAAGTGCCCCAGTTTGATACATGGTAACCCAATTAGGAAGCTACTTGGGATGAGTGGGATCTTGTGGAAACCTGAAATCATGCTTTTAGGTAGACACTGTCCTACTGAAGTGTGGGCATAAGCCCAAAGTGGAGCTTAAAAGGCACATACAATGACTCTGCCTCCCTGAAACATGCTTCCCCCCCGTCGGTATACACACAGGCACACACGGACTGTTTTTACCTATACAAACATACCTATGATAAAGTTTAATTCATAAGTTAAGCATCATAAGACACTAACAATAACTCATAATAAAATAGAATAACAATATACTATAATAAAATTTATGTGAATGTGATCTCTCTTTCTCAAAATATCTTATTGTTCTATACTCACCCTTCTTCCTGTGATGATGTGAGATGATACAAGGCCTGTATGAGGAGATGCAGTGAGGAGTACTCAGAAAGGCATGCAATTTAAAACTTATGAACTGTTTATTTCTGGAATTTTCCACTTAATATTTTTGGACCACAGTTGACCGCAGGTAACTGAAACCTTGGAGAGAGAAAGTGTGACTGATAGAAGATTACTGTGCCTTTGTTCTCAGTTCTCCCTCACTCCTTCTTTATTCCTCTACAAAAGGGGCAGAAGGGGGGCACTTTGAAATTATCAAAACAGGATTCATCCTTGCCTCTTCTCTGAACTTCTCATCTGCTCCCAGACATGGAGACACAGGTTTCCAAGAGAGCTGGTCAAGCAGACAAACTTTTCTCAGTAGGCTAAGTAAACTGCAGGTCTGGCGGCACTGTCCAGGGCTGTCACTCCTTGTGACGGAGGCACCATCGTGCCACGGTTCACAGCTAGAGGTCGGCCCTCTCTCGCTTCAAACCCCAACTCCCGTATTTTACCAGTTGTGAGAACTTTGTAAATCTACATAACCTGTGTAAAGTTGGGGGTTATAATGGTACCCAATTAACAGTGTTGAAGTCAAGATTAAAAGGTAAAATATAAATGCCATGCTGAACGAAGTTCCTGGCACATGAGACTGGATAAACATTAGCCATTCACATCATTGAATCCTCAAAGATAATTATTTATCTTTTTACATACATTTAGAAATATTTTTAACAAATTAAATAATTATTGGAGTGCTAAAGTAATATTTAAGAGAAAGTAATTTGGTTTCATAAGCCTGACTGCTGGTTATTGGAAGAGCTCATGAAAACAACATCTGGCCCCAGTTCTAAATTTTCAGCCTTAGGCTTAATTTTTAGTCCTTATCAGCAACAATCTGGCATTGTTCTGATGTCCACATGCAGCTGCCTTTGTGGAAAGGTTGTATTTCAGCTCACCCAATTTTCTTTTGCTGCTGTTATCACAAGAGCTAAATTGATATGTGTAAGTCTAAAAATATTCTTAGGTATGAGATTCCTGTGATTAATTAATACTGTCTTATGTTACAAATCAACCTTTGGGACCATAAAATTTCTCTTTGGCTTGTTTCCTCCACTTCTATTAATGCAGGTAGAGAAAAATCCACATGCCCTCTTTAGGACTTAAAATAATTAATTATGTATGCAGTTACCACCCAAAATATAATTTCCAACCTTCTCAGGCCTTTGTGTGAGTTTAAATACAAGATGCCCTAGCTGATTCCAAAATTTTCTTAATTTTTTTCTCAGAAATCCCAGATTTATCATAAGTCAAAAGCCAAGCAAACAGCGAGTTACATATAATGTGCATAATAATGTGCTTGTCAGTGCTGTTAATGGGAATCAATATTCATGAGCAGTACTTGGTCTCATGTGCTAAATAAACCCTAATTAGGAGTATACCTCATTTAAGTTCTGCCTCCAAACTCAGATCAGTCAGTCAATCAGCAAGAAGAAACTGACAAGTAGAGTGGGTGCTTCAGTGTCACAGTTCATTATTGTAAGAAATTGAAGAAATCAGAGGCAAACGAGTACAGACCTTCTAAACCTGGTTTAAAGATATTTTAAAACTGTGAGGTGGTTGTCAGTTTCATGACTCATTCTCACTATCATCCTGAAGTTCACTGGGTGCCTATGGAATGCCAGGTACCTCTCACATTTCACTTAATTTCATCCTTACCACAATCCCGGCTGGTATATTTGGTACTATTGTTAAAGTGAGTGAACTGAGAGTCAGAGAAATAGTTAACCTTCCCAAGATCACATTCAGTATTAAGCAACCTACTAGGTTTGGAACCCAAGATTATCTGGTTCACAGAACCTCTTCCCACTGGATTCCTGCTTCCTTACTTGATGGGATTTATGGAAGTAAAAGAGTGCATGATACTGTCCTAAATGACTAGATTAAATGTTTGTTTGAAACTAGAAAGCATCTTTCCACATGGAACTCTTTGCTAGCAGAAGAAAAATTCATGTGTTTCATCAACAAAATTGAGTAATGCCTTTTTTATATGAAGTCAATGGGAAATGAGATAATCCAAATAAAGAAATTGTTCAGATAAGTGCAACCTCAGAAAATCCTTTATTTTAAATATTTCATGAAGATATTTTCATTATAAGCCACAATACCCTATAAAATAGGGTATATTAAATATAGATTATTTTTGGTCGGAAGATTATCATTGTAAATGCAAATTTTCATACTGTGCAATAAGAGAATGATCTGTTCCAGGGCTAAATTCCCAAAACATGTTGGGTAATTTGGATTTACATCTGACTCTTGTCAGAGTCCTCTATCTATGCAATTCCTCTAAGTCCTCTATCTATGCAATTTTACTTTACCTTTTTTGCTGTCAGCTATCACCTACGATGGTATGCTTGCTTCCTACACATCATTTTCCCTGAGTCCAGTGCACTATTCCTAGGTTACACAAGCTTTTATAACTATATCTAAAATAAGAAGAACAAGCATTTTTGTGAAAGTGTGTGTAAATCTTCTGTGGCTGCAACATAATATTTAACATATTCAGAAATTTAATAATAAATTTTAATTGCAACTGTACATCAGTGGACAATAATAATTTGATCATACAGACACTGTCATATTAATCTCAAAATGGCAATCAGCATTATATATACTTAATAGTGAATGACAGATTTTCTTGTTAAAACCAGAAAAAGAAAATAGAACATCCTCTTTAACCACTATTATTACCCTTGTCCAGACCTTAGCCAATGCAATAAGAAAAAAATACATATTGGAAAAAAGTAGAAAGTATAATTTTTTGCAGAATAACTACACAGAAAATCCTAAAGACATAACTTTAAAAATCAGAAGTAAAAGGATAGTTTTAAACTAATACAGTGGCTAATAGATAAGTATAATGAAAACATTTGAATATATAAATAATAAATAGTTTATATATTTAGCTGGGAAAAACCATTCATAAGACTCATAAAAAATATATTAAACAAAATACAGAAAATTTTACTGAAGTATCAAAAAAACTATATTATGCTTTAATATTAATCACAAATTTCCCAAACTTATTCATAATTTAGTGCAATTCTAATGAAAAGCCCACTTTTCTAATAATTCCTAAAGTGATTCTGACAAAATATTTCTTAAAATAGGTAAAATTACTTAAATATTTTTGAAAACAAGAATAAGGAGAGACTTTATTAAATATTAAAATTAAGTATTAAAACTATAATTATGGTTTGGTGTTTACACAAGAGTAGGAAAACAGATCAATAGGATAAAATAGAAAATCCCTAAACAGACAAAATATAAAAAATATTTGTATATGTAGTTACGACCAGAGGAAAGGGCAGACAGGCTGGATTGAGGAGGGCAAAGGGGTGGGGGGACAGAATTGGGGACATCTGTAAGAGTATCAACAATAAAAATAAAGAAAAACAATATTTGTATATATGATGTCAGTGGTATTTTTGGAACATCAAGCTGACATTCAAATTTCCAACTCCACCACACACAAGTTGTATTTAAACTTTTTGAACAACATCTCCATCTGTAAATGGAGATAACAGTAATAAAATAAAGTAAAATAATGTGTGTCAGGCAGTACCTGGGCCATACTAAACATATGGATATCCAAATGAAAATGTCAGGTAGTCAGTTGGATGTGCAAGTCACAGGAAAGGTAGGGGAAGAGGTGAGGGAGAAGTAGATTCAGGAAGAAGCCAGAACTGGAGACACAAATATGGATTACAATTAGGTTGTATTCAAAGCCATGTGATTCAATGAGGTAATGAGATGATATAACTCAGGATGAGATGAAATAGGTAAGAAGGCAGAGACATACCTTCTGGTCCCCAACACTAGCTTTCCAATGATTCTTCCTGCACCTTATGTCACACTCCAAGCCAACCTAGCCATTTTCTAGCTCTGTAACCATGGCAAGTTATTTAAACACTTTATGTCTCAGCTTTTTCATCTGTAAAATGAGGATAATAATCTCAATGTGGAAATTAAATAAGTTAATGTACATAAGTTGGTTAGAGCATGACTGGCACATGGTGAGTGCTAAGTAAATGCTTATTATTATTGTTACTCAAGTTCCTTGGGAGAGTCAGCAGATTTGTGCACAAGAGTATCCACTGTTGCCTGAGGTGTGTGTTTGACAAAAGATTGCGAGTGACTATAGATCATCACTTCCCAATAGCAGTAAAATGCAAGACACGTGGATAATTCTAAATATTCTAGTAACCACAATTTAAAAGTAATCTTAACAAAATATTCTATTTAAGCTAACACATCCACAATATTATTCCAACATGTAATGATTAGTTAGTGAGCTACTATTAGTGAGCTATTTCATATGTATAACAATCTCTATGATCAGACAAGTCCACTTCAAGTATTCAATAGCTATGTGTAGCTATAGACTATTATATTGGACAGCACAGCTGTAGATAAATGGGAAGATCTTAAGCCAGACACATGACATGTCTAAAGGAAATGGTAAGTGAATAATCAAGAAACAGGAAAACCTGATCTAAGATAAAGGAAGAGAAAATTTTGCAAATGAAAGATAAACGAGTTTTTCTTTCTCTAGTAAATGTGCATTTTATCATTCCTTTGCCAAACAGAATCTTGATTCATGATCTACAAGAAGTGATTGAGAAACAGTTTGATGTCAAAGAAGATACGCCAGGCAGGCACAGCTATGCAAAATACAATACCTGGAACAAGGTACAGTATAAAATGCCTGTGGTTCCAGGCTTCCCTGGGAAAGACACAGGTGAGAGCTGACCTTGGCCTGCACCACCCAGGAAACCTCAGGGCTAGTGCACCCAGTGGACAGCTACAGACCACGTTAGAGAACCACTATCCTGCCCCTACATAGCTGATCATCCACAGAGGGCAGAGGTTGGTGGTCAGTGGTCACATCCAGTCCTTGTACCTGACTAGCCTGGGTAAATCCCTCCCATTGATATGCCAATAGCAATCAAAGCTCAACTACAAGAGGAGGGTGTATTCAGCCCACCCTATGGGCATACCTTGAGTACCCAACTTGGGTGATAGGGAAAGTTGTGCCACTGGACCCTAGAGGACACCTACTACATGAGGCCACACTACCAAGATGTGGAGTCAAAGCAGCCCCACCTAATAGAAACAAACACAGGGAGGCTGCCAAAATGAGGAGACAGCAAAACATGGCCCAAATGAAAGAACAGGCCAAACCCCAGAAAAAGAACTAAACAAAATGAAGATAAGTAATCTATCAGATGCAGTCTGATTCCCTCAAAAAACTTACAAAACACTATTTGTGAGGATGCTCAAGGAACTTAATAAGGACCTCAACAGCATAAAAAAGATCTAGTTAGGAATGAAGGATACATTAATGGAAATAAAGAACAATTTATAGGGAAACTACAGTAGAGTGAATGAAGCCGAGAATCAAATCAATGATTTGGAACATAAGGAACCAATCAGAACAACAAGAAGAAAAAAGAACCCCTCAAAATGAGGGTAGTATAAAGAACCCCCCAAAAAAGGGCAGTATGAGGCATTTACATCATAGGGGTGCTAGAAGGAGAAGGGAAAGAGCAAGAAATTAGAAATCTATTTGAAAAAATAATGAAATAAAAATTCCCTAATTTGATGTAGGAAGTACACATGCAAGTCCAGGAAGCACAGAAAATCCCAAACTAGACAGATGCGAAGAGACCCACTCCAAAACACACCATAATTAAAATGCCAAAGTTAAAAAGAGAATCTTAAAAGCAGTAAGAGAAAAGACGTTAGTTACCTACAGGGGAGTTCCCATGAAACTGTCAGCTGATTTCTCAAAAGAAACTTTGCAGGCTAGAAGGAATTGGCAGGAATTACTCAAAGTCAGAATGAGCAGGGACCTACAGCCAAGATTGCTCTACCCAGCAAAGGTATCATTTAGAATCAAAAGGTAGATATCAAGCTTCCCAGACATGAAAAAGCTAAAGAAGTTCATCATCATCAAACCATTATTACATAAAATTTTAAAGGGACTTATTTTAAAAAAAGAGTAAGATCAAAACTATGAACAATAAAATGGCAAAAAATGTTGATAGATAACATATTTATCAACAGTTCATTCTAAAAAAATAAGCTAAGCAAACAAGAACAGAGACAGAACCATATATATAGAGAATGTTTTGATGGTTGCCAGAAGGGAAGGAGTGGGGGAGAATGGGTGAAGAGGTGAGGGGATTAAGAAATACAAATAGATAGTTCCAGAATAGCTGTGGGGCTGTAAAGTACAGTATAAGAAAAGGAGTAGCCAAAAAACTTTCATGCATGACCCATGGACATAAACAATGGTGTGGAGGACTGCCTGAGGGAGTTGGGGGTGCTGGGTGGAGGGGGGCAAAGGGGAAAAAATCAGGACAACTGTAATAGCATAATCAATAAAATATAATTTAAAAAATAAAAATAAAAAATGCTTGTGCTTCAACTAAAAAGAAAAAAATTATCTTAAATATTTGTTGTCTTTTATTAGTTTTCTTTTATCCTAATTTCTCATATTGAGTTTACTCTTAAGATTGTTGCTTGGACTGAAAAAATGGTACACAAGCATCCTGATATGGTCTCTCGTATTAAAATTGGAACTACTGTTGAAGATAATCCACTGTATGTTCTCAAGGTAAAAACCATTCAAGAACTACTAATTCATATTATTGTTGAAAAACATGAATTTTAAACTTACTTTTCAACACATGTAGCTAATTTTGATACAATAAACATCTTAAGTTTTGGGGAATATTTAAGCTCTAGACATCCATTCTAGAACAGAAGTGACAGGTGATTTTAAGTGGAACTAGAAAATTCCTGATTAAACCATTTGTCAAGACACAGTGAACACATGCAAATATCTTATCCTGTATGTTTGTTACAAGAGTTTATGATGTCCCTGGTTCATAAAACAGTTTTCTGTCCATTAAAATTCAGTGAAACTGTTAACTAAAATGTCATGAAGAAGAGAAAAATTCAAGGACATAGAATCATAGGCTCCCAGAACAGTAAGTGAAGCTCTTCAACCCCATGTTGATGGGTGACTCCATTCTATAACAAAGCTGATAACTGCCATTCAGCTGCAGCTGGATTTTTGTGCATCCAAAGACACTGCTCCCAGATACATCCCCTAACTGGGAAGCCCTTTCTTACCCTAAATTCCCATCCATTCATTCTCTCCAACTATGCAAAACAAATTCCACCTCTCTTCAAAATGACAGCCTTTCAAATATCTAGTCACTAGTCCTCCTTCCCACTTCAAAAACAAAATCTTTTCTACTCCAAGTGGAACATTCCCAGGTTATGAAGACAGAAAAAAGAAATGTCAGAAACAGAAGCAACTTTATAATTTATGTCTCAGACCAAAGAATGTTATCAGGAAAATAAGAAAAACAAGATCATGATTTTTAAAAAAGTAATCCTAAAAGCAACTCTGACACTAGGAAAAACTTTTGAAAAATATCCTATATAATCAATTAGGAATTATATAGAGACATTTAAGGATATATGCCATGGTTCTATCTGAGAACAATATGTACTTACACAGTTACTCATTAAAATAGGAGACAGGAGGAAGAATTGCTTTGAGAATATAAATGAGTTATAGGACAACAAAAGATCAATGTGTGAATCTGTGCAAATTACAACTATATCTCAACTTTATTTTTAAATAGATTGGGAAAAAAGATGAAAGTAGAAAGGCTATTTTTATGGACTGTGGCATTCATGCACGAGAATGGATCTCCCCAGCATTCTGCCAGTGGTTTGTCTATCAGGTAAGTGAATTGGAACAGGCAATTCTCAGATTGTCAAGTCTCCAGCACCTCACCAAGCAGCAACCGCCCTTTCCAAACAAGTGTAGTTCCACTGAACTAGATGAGCCCACGTTTGGTGCTGTCAGGAAATAAATGCTTTGGATTTTACTCAACATTCAGCTTTTTTAAAATTGACACCTTCCTTCAGATTTCTTAAATTCCAGCTGACAGCTTATAAAATGAAAAGAAAATTTAGGGGGTTACAATATGAGAGTTTTTCCTATAGCTAAGCACGGATAATCTGAAACTATCTTAACATCCAACCTACAAACATGGACTTTCTTCAGTAAGCTCAAAGCAAAGGCCTTATTTCTGCATAGGTATTTCATTAACCTCATATACACTTCGCACACTTAAACTCCCTTTCCAAATGAAAAATAACTCATTTTTTTAAGTTTATGTTTGTTATTTCTCTCACTCTATTTCTATTGTATTCTGACTCCAACTATGTTTAACCTTCTCTGTCTGCAGCTTTTGCACCCAACACACTGATGAAACAGGCATGACAATGCCCTTCTGGGTGTGCATAGTTTCACTAAGTGTGAATCTGCCAGTTGAGTTGATTATCCCTGCCCTGGTCTAGTTCTTCCATCTGAGAGCCCAGTGCACCCCTCATAAAGGAACACCCATCATAGGACCACAGGATATCTCCCTGCTCCAGTACAGCTGGACCTGGAAGAGATTTCCCAAAAATGATGACAGAGATTTTTAGGTAGCCATAGAAAGTCCATATAATTAGAGAAATTTCAGTCAGATGTGAGAAAAAAAGTAGATAGTCAATTTCTAAACTCTTGATTTTTTTAGTCAATAGAGCACTTTTTAAAATCCTATTTATAATTAATTTATGAATCCTCTCAAATATTTACATATTCTAATGCTTATGGATTCAATCCATATTTACAAAAAGGATGTGAGGGAAATAATCCATTTAAAATAAGCTGTACTGCTCATTTTTCACTTGGCTTCTAATCTTCCTATGAAATGTATCTTGCATGCTACATTTGAAATGCTACAAGTCTCAAAATTTAAATGATCCTTTAACGAATGCTCAGTTCAATTAATTTCATTAGTCTGAATAAATGTCATCTGTATGGGTCATTTAGTTTTGTACAGTTTAGGATAAATATGTTCAAAATCATTTGACCTTGGGCAAATAACTTAAGGAATGGTAGTTATTACTATTATAACCACAACTTTCCACACAATAGCTAAACTTTATACAATAGCTTCCTCTTTTTCCTATCCTTATAGGCAACCAAAACTTATGGAAAAAACAAAATTATGACCAAACTCCTGGACAGAATGAACTTTTATGTTCTTCCTGTGTTCAACATTGATGGATATATTTGGTCATGGAAACAGGTAATATACTGTTTTGTAGTTTCTTTTTTTGCATTTAGATAATATATTACTTACTGACTTTAATGCACAGTGATTGATATTAAGTTTAAAACTTGGGTAACCAATTAATTTCAATTCACAAATGTATATTTTTTAAAATCTCAATTTCAGACTAAGGCAAGCATGATTTTCTAACTGCACAGGTGTTCTTGAAACAATATGAAATTTTTGCTACTGAATCTAGTAATGCAAAAAAATGAAATAAAGCAGTTACTATAAAGGATACTCTAGCTAAGAGTACAAGTCATTTAAAGATATTATGAAGTCAAGTCATTGACTTCAAAGCAAAAGTCAGTTTATTCCATCAACTTGGGACAGAATTTGAGGAGGAATAATTATATCAAAAATAAATTAACAAGTGACACAGATATCTATCTGTCTTTTAACAGGATCCTCTATTTCCCTGCTGCTGTTTGATAAGATTAAATTCACTAATAATGAACTTTTAGATAGATACTATCACACCAAGTTCTTTCCTGAAAAGTTTGCTCCAACAGTCACAATTTTACCTGTATTATATCTGTATCTATAAATGGTAAAAGATGTAATGAAGTTATAATTTAAGTATAGGTAATTCCAGAAGATCATTTATCTTTTCTAATAATGAGAACTAATCAACAGTTTTTAAAACTAACTGAATTAGAATATTTACATAAAAGCAGTATTTCTGAAACTATTACAAATAGTAAGAAAACAATAAAATTTTCCTTTAATAAAGGTCCTCATTTAAACTAGATAGATTTCAAATAAAGCTGTAGAAATTTGCAGAGAGGATCTGAAATGATCAAATTGAAAAATTCAAACTGATCTGCTGTAAATACTTCTGTCATTTGATCCTGCAGAACCGCCTGTGGAGAAAAAATCGTTCCAAGAACCAAAACTCCAAATGCATCGGCACTGACCTCAACAGGAACTTTAATGTCTCATGGAACTGTGAGTTGACTTGATCTCAAGGAAAAGAGCTATAAAGTGTTTAGACACAGAATTTACTTAAACCACCTACTCATTTCAGTAAACATATGTTTTACCTGAGTGAGTGTTAATTTTCTAATCTAAAAATGAAAGATATCATCACTGCTATAGAAGCATTATGAATGTTTTGTAATATGGGAGGAAGTGGGGTGTGGGGTTGTCAAACTATCTCTTAATATACTTAGCTTGCTAAAATTTAAGCACAATTCAGATGTATAATAATTCAAATCATCTGAAGAGAGATCTAAGGTCCTTCCTTATCCTGATCTAATAAAAGTTGAGAAATACCTGCGGTTAAAACTAGTACAGATAGTTCTTTAGATGTTCAGTGAAAAGAAACATCTGGAGAGAAGAGAGTGAGAGGTTTAATGAAAATGCAATAATAAACAAAGATCTGCAATATCAGATGACTCTGTAGTTGCTACACAAATATCACTTTATCATTACATATGTTCATGGAGAAATGACCACTATCCCAATTCATAATATTTATTGCTATCTAGCTTTGTGAAAAATACCATCTCAACTTTTAATTGTATTCTACCATAATTAATATGATATTAGCAGTTTCCCTAATTGATGACTGCCTGCTAAAATAGGTTGAAGAAACTCGGGTTCAAAGAACGTAGCCAGTACCCAGCAAGTCAGAACTGCAGTTGAATTGGAGCTGGGATCTCTGGCCCCAGGCCCTAGACTGCTTCTGCTTTATTATTCCTGTTTCTCTGGACAAAGGAGAGAAAATAAACATGACTAAGAATATTCTAGCAAGCTGTTTGTTACACTCTGAGTTGTGTATACAAAGTTAGCCTGCAGTGACTCTGACACCGGAAACATAGAGGGGCCCCGTAAACCTGGTAAGCCAAAGTGCTTAAAACATTTTGTGCATCCACCTCAGAAGCGATGGCTGTGCTGAAGAGGGGAGCAGATTGTGATCTCATCCATTTGTGTCCTCTATAGCTTCTCCTAGCACCAAAAACCCATGTGAGGACACCTATCCGGGCCCCATTCCAGAGTCCGAGAAAGAGACCAGAGCTGTCACTGACTTCATTCAAAGCCACCTGAAATCAATCAAAGCCTATATCACCATACACTCCTACTCCCAGATGCTATTGTTTCCGTATGGATATACATCAAAATTGCCACCTAACAATGAGGAACTGGTACGTAGAGAAAAGCTTGTGGTTTATGCTTTGACACCACCATTGACATTCAGTCAGTTCTTTATTAACAACTTGTGTTATGTTAAAAGAATTCCATTTTACTACCAAAGAAAAGAACTAATGAAATTTACCTTAGAGTTAAAATCATATCCTTAGATTAATTTTTATGTATTAAAATTATACAGTTAATAAAATCTTTCAATATGATTCTAAGATAAAGCCAATAGGAGGAAATGTCTCTAGGCCATCAGAGTAGAATTCCATTACTACATAGATCATTAAACGTTTACAGTATGTCAGTGAAACCACACACAGCAAAAGTCTAATAGAACAGCAAAGATATATGCTTTTCCTATCCCTAAGACACCAGATTTAAGTGTGTCCATTGTATTTTCATCCTCCAGGTCATCTTAGAAATGATACTAATACTTTCACTATCCAAAGAAAGAACACTACCATCCAAAGAATGTTTGTGAAACTTCCTCACTAAGAACAGTCTTTCCAGAACTATGATCCACTAAGCATCCTTTTCCATCTATGGAGACTAATTTCTTAGCTTTAAAAAAATTGTAGATATGAGTTTCAATGAATTACAAGAACTAGCAGTGTGAATAAATGAATATCCATATAAAGAAATAAATATTTGCCCTGGCCAATTGGGTTCAGTTAGTTGGAACATCCATATGTAAATTGAATGGCTGCCAGTTTGATTCCCAGTCAGGGCACCTGCCTAGGTTTCGGGTTCAGTCCCTAGTCAGGACACCTAAAAGAGACAATTAATCAATGTTTCTCTCTCACATCAATGTTTCTCTCCATCTCTCTCTCCTCCCTTCCCCCTCTCTAAAATCAATACGCATGTCCTCAGGTAAGGATTAAAAAAAGGAAAAGAAATATTTTAATTGCAGTAAGAAAAGAAATAAAGCAGATAAAATTTAGTGTCCCAAATCCCATGGTGATTGACAAACACAACATATCCAGCAAAAGATATGGTTCAAATACTGCTTCATAAAATTTTTTTTTAAATTTTGAAGACAGGCACACAATTGTCATTCTGACTTCAGTCAATTGTTTCAGCAATACAGCATTTAATTTTAAGTTGAAGCAGACATTTAGACCAATCAGTAAAACCATCTGTATATATGCAACCAAGAAAAAGTACAAGCAATCCATGGCCCATAGAATCATTTATTTAACCAATTTAGTTGAGAATCTGAATCCATGAGTATGAACAACTTATACAAAGACACAGCAATGCAATTTCAATCTGCCCTTAGGAAAATGGCATTATGGATTAAAAACTACAAATGTATACAAGAAACCATTTGAGTAAAGTAATAGCTTTTACACAGCAACTAAATTGATTAAGAAAATATATTTCTTGGTTATATACATTATACCCATAGACTAAAAAAATCTTCATTTGATTACAAATACATTAATGACTATATTCCACTAAAGTTTGTTCCAATAAATCATTCTCATAGCACAAAACACTAATGTGCATTAAAGATCATGAAGTGCTGCTCTAGAAGAGAAACTCTAATTTAACAACTATTTTAAAGAGGAGTCAACCACCCTTCTTCTGCCCTTGACATGCTAAAATCTGATGTGAAGAAAGATCTGTGATGATGTGGAACCTATAAAGACAAAGGAAGGGGGAACAAGGGAGAAAATGGCTTAGAAGAAATAAAAATCTGAACCTAGCAGCAACATGGATGGACCTCGAGAATATTATTCTAAGTGAAATAAGTCAGTCAGAAAAAGCTAAGAACCATATGGTTTACTTAAATGTAGGATATAAAAACTGAAACTCATAGACACACAACAGTATGGTGGTTACCAGAGGGAAGAGGGATGGGAGTCAGTAAAGGATAAAGGGGGCCAAATATGTAGTGATGAAAAATTATTTGACTTTGGGTGGTGGGCACACAATGCAATATATAGATGGATCATGTAGCATAGAAATGTACACTTGAAATGTATATGATCTTATTAAGCAATGTCACCCCAATAAATTCAATTTAAATATATATAAAAGCTAAAAAATCTGAAGCCAGAAAAACATCTGAAAAAAGAAAGATACGTTTCATTATGAGGAATGATAGAATGATGAGAAGGAGGAAGTCACAGAGAAAGAGAAAGAAGGAGAGAGAGAAAAGAAATAGAATCACAGAAGGAGATAAGACATTACTGTAGATAACTGATTTCACATTTAGAAGTCTTCACAATGACAATATATCTCACTGAAAATAAATTTCTTGTTTAGCCATTTATTTTATTTTGATCTTCAAATACCAAGTAACCAGTAAAATGGGCTTTTTAATGCCCAGTAAATTAATGGCACTTACATAGCACCCTAACTTCCTAACTTCCCTTTCTCTCTAGACCAAAGTTGCAAAGATCGGCACTGATGTTTTAGCAACTCGCTATGAAACCCGCTACATCTATGGTCCAATAGCATCAACAATTTGTAAGTGTTTCCTATTACTTAATGTGTCATTTTCCTTAACTCTTTTTTATAATTATTAAAGGAAATTATAGAATTTGTAAACTAGTATTAGAACATTTGGAATTGCTAATTTGGCCTTTAGTTTTAACAGGTGATTTTGAATTAAATGTGAATCTGGGGGATAAAATTTGCTGTTGGTGAGGATAATATCTTTCTTTAAACAAATTATACTTAACTTTCTACAAGGTTACAAGGTCAACAAAAGTTATTAAATCAAGACAAATTTACAGTTTAATTCATCCCCCTTCCTGTGCCCACCAACCACACATTTTATCCTCACAAGAATAAGAATTAGTTGGGGCAAAGTTGAAATTTTTTTAAATCATTTAACTTGAATTGGACTCTTTCTTACTTGGGCTAGTCTCCAGGCAAGCACAGTTTTTTCCCTAGCTCCTGGTAGAAGAATCGGTAGGCCCACAGATTGAGCCACTTTAATCATAGAAAACCAGTTTCCTGTCTCTCTCACCAGCCCCTTCCTATCATGTTCAACTGAGATCTATATGGTAGATTAAGAAAGGAGGTCACAGGGTTCTAGTTCTGTTCTGTTTTAGTGTCTCAGCACCACTTCTTACTCTGCACTATTTTTTTCTGTCTGCACTATAAATTATTGACATATTTCTTACCTGTCAGCCACTTGCTTAGCCCTTGATTTTCACTATCTCAATTCATTGTAACAGCACCTTAGGACTTGGGCAATACTTGTAACTAGCTAAACTGCCATTCATTCCCAGGTTTTAACAAAATGCAAAGCCCATGATCTTGACCATTGTGCATACTGCTTACCCATTTGGTTTTTGCAGCTATAGTAATTAGGCTGTTCCTCATTAAAGCAATGAAAATAAATTCATTTGTTTTTCACCAATCAAAACCATTAATTTAGACCCTAGAAAGTGAGATCATGTCTTCTCTGGTGGCTAGATCCCACTGGCATTAATTTGGAAATACTTTAGTAAAAACTGCCTTTTCTCCAAACCATTTCTGAGCTTCAGTTCTTAGGCCCAAAATTAACAGAAAATTCCCAATGAAACTGCTTACAAAACCTTAACTTCTTAACAAAATTTAATTCCTCAAAAGTAAGGATCACATTTCCTATCTCCTCTTACACCACTTAATATCTAGCACAGTGAAGGGTATGGACAACATCAAAAATAGTTCCAATAAACTTGCTCACTAAAGGCGGTGTCCTGACTTATCCAAAAAGAGTGAACTTGGATTGAAACCACAAGACTGAACTTGATTTAGCACACATCACTCTCTAGAGCCATGATAACCAAAATTTTTAGCATGAAGACTGCATTTCATGGACCACTCAAACTTATTCCCATTATACTTTTAGAATTTGTGTACTGAAAAAATGAATATGTGCATATGAACCTATGGATTCCTTGCAATAACTCTACCCAGCCACACTTTAAAAATTACTTCCTTAATCCAGGCTAAAAGTATAAACTTTGAACTAAAAGTCTACACCCTCAACAATTGCCATGAAATTTGAAAATGCCATAGTCATCACATACAACTTCTAGAACCAAGTTATTGGCAGCTTTTTTGGTGGATTTGGATAAATGACAAGAAAAAGAAAAAAAAACAGACAAGTCCCATTCCTAGAAAACATTCATCAGCAATCACCTATCCACCAGTCACTGGCAAAGGGCTGAAGGAAAAGAACATTACACAGCCAACTGTCAGCACCCAAACAGATCATGCTGAATAGCCAAGCCAGGAATTCGTTATGCATACAAGTGGATGACAAGGTTTCAAAACAAATGATAGACCTAGCCATGTGAGTGGGCAAAAAGCAAACAAAGTAAAGAACAAGAGAGCGGACTTGAACATCCATTTAAAATAGCAGTCTACTTAGTGGATACTGAGAAATAGCAGGGCCAGATAAGCCACCCAGATATGATGTAAGAGCAACTTTCACATCATAAGTAAGAAAAACACACAGATATTCTTAGCATCAAAACACAAAGGGTTCCGAACAGGAACAAATTTTGCAAGTAGCAACTAGAAAATCACAGGATTGTTACACACTTTCCACGTCTATATACACAAATCATCGGCATAGTAGAGCTATGCATGGCATTGCATCACAATCATTTAACTTACAGAGCAACTACCTAATAACTGCCCAGCACTTTGGAGCTTTGAGAGACAAGTGAGAAGAGTTAAGACACAATGACTACCCTTAAGGAGGTATGTGCTAACTGGCAGCCAGCCAAAGATACCATACATCGCTCCATGCCATCATGTGTCACATTTGAAATGAGAGGATCGGGTGAAGAGGAATTACTATTCTGTACAACTGTGTAGCAGCATTTTTAACTTATTTATTATATAACATTAAAAGATTTTTAAAGGAATTCAGATTTAGGAAGCATTGCCTCTTTCATACAGGGCTGCTGCAGCTTGACATTCAAAATTTTTGGCAGTGTATGCTTAATAAAGCCTCTGATTGAATGTTAAACAGTCATGAGAAGTAAAGGGTCGCAAGGTGCTTGACTTGGTAAGAATAGAAAATAAACGCACTCCACAATTAATATTTAGTCATGCCAATATCCTGATTGTTACTTAAGAAGTCCAGGACTTGGCAGTATTTTTCTCTTTGCCAGTATTTTTCTCTTTGATTTGATAGCAACAGAAGTAAAGGTCTGAGGGAGCATTTTTAATACGCAAGTTGTGGAGAGATCTTTGACCTCCAGAAAAAATTAAATACGTTTGCAATCTAAACCTAAGAAGCAAATACAACAAATTTTTTTAAGTTAAAACCAAAAAATTTTAAACCAGGAGGAAACATAAAAAATGATCTATGTTAGTGATTTTCAACCATTTTCGTCTCATGGCACACATACAGTAATTACTAAAAAATATTAATTTTTGCTGATCTGACAAAAATTAAGTATAATTTTGCTTCATTCACACCAGATGGCTATTGTTATATTGGCTATTGTCATTTATGTATTTGACAATCTATGGGAACAGATGTCAGTGCCCCTGACTAAATAGTCAGATACTGAGTGTTTTAAAATTTCTTGCAGCACACTTTTGTGCCTTGCACAGCACACCAGTTGAAAACCACTGGTCTACTTCATGATTCTTAAGTCTCACTTCCCATTAGTCATCTGAGAAGTTCTTAAAACACAGGTGGTTAGGCCCCACCCTAAAACATTCTGATTCCATTAGCCTGCCATGGGGCCCAGGCACTCCTGTTGTTTTTTAAGTACCTGAAGTGATCCTAAAGAGATGAAACTAGGGTTGAGAACCACCAATCTTAATGAAACCCCTCATTTGTAGACTGTAAAATTGACGTACAGAAAGATTTTATTACTGTAGAGCAGAACAGACACAAAAATCAGCATTCCAGACCACAGTAGTATACCAAGTACTCTGCCACAAAGCAGCAATATTCAAATTGCACAAAAACTGGTGATAAAAGATTGTGAAAATCTTTTGCATATTGGCAGTATATCTAATCCTTTACCATTTTAGAAATAACTGAACATAGTACCTGGTTAGCAAAAATAGATCATTGACTTAATAGGAACCGGGTCATGTATATCATTATTAGTATCATCCATTTGTCAGTCACATTATGAATTAAAAAGTTAATTACAAAGCACCTTGTTTTGTGCCTTCCCATGCACCGAAATTGCTATATCTGCTCCTGTTTCTCAACCTTGTTGAAAATCAAGATCTCAAATTTGTAACTTACAACACTCAATATCTAGCTAAGAGAAATGCAAGCTGAGATTATATTAAGGAACAACAAAAGGGCAGAAAAAATATTTTAATTTATAACCATGCATCTCTTGCTTCAGCTCCCTTGCTTCAGATAGAATTTTGACTTAGTGTTGATATAAAAAGTGCAGGTTATCATGTTTAATGCATGTCAATAACACTTTGTTCTAAAAATAATTAGACATTAATTTACCAGCATCACTTCATGTGAATTCCTTTGGGCTAAAACTGGATTCCTAGCTAGCTCAGTTCAGTTTTATTTTGACTTGTTTGAATTGTATTAGAGTAAGTTCCTTGCACATAATGTGGCTTGAAAGGAGTAAAAATGTTTTTAATGTCTATATATTAAGAAAATATTGTCAACAAAAAATTATCTTATAAAACTCAATGAAGACTTTTCATTGGGAGAACTATAGATTGACATATGGTGAGTAGTACACTATATAATTAATATCACAAGTCTAAAGATAGGCTTCCTTTTCTGTAAAACAGCAATTGGTACTTAAATCAGAAGGTTGTGATAGGAACTAGTGAAATGAGTAATTTAGCAAGTGATTGTTATATTTTATAAATATACACATATTTTAGTCAGTATAGATGGAGATACATACAAGGCTAAATTGCATATTCAACAAATTAAGTTCTATAATACTGTATTTTCACAAGTAAAAAGCTTTTAATCTTGGATTTATTTTATGCCTTAAGAGTTTTGGTTTGTAAATTAAGGTTTTGAAAATACACAAATTGGCATCATAAAACAAAATGTATTATACTCAGGAACATCACAAAACTATGAAAATCCACTATTTGTATATAAGTGTGTGTGTGTACATATATAAAAGGTCTCCAGAAAAAGCCCAGCCATTGTTAATATAACAAGAACTGTTTGCATGACATCAATGTAACCTGGCAGCCAAGGAGAGTGGACTAGAATGTGCATGTGTGAACAATGACGACTTCACTGTACTAGTCAATGGGGGCAGTAGACACTGTTGAGTGAGCATGTATACTGTGTGGCGATTATATTCAAAATGACTAAGTGAGCAGAGCAACGAATCTGCATCAATTTTTGCATTAAGCTTGAACATTCCTCTGTGGAAACTATTTACACGATTCAGAAGGCCAAGCTATAAGTAACTGGTGATGGGCAGCTTCATCATGACAACATGCCAGCTCATATATCACATTTCGTGCAAAGTTTTTTAGTGAAACATCAAATCACC